TGGTGCTGGATAGGAACAACTGATGATCAGCGCAGAACTGAAGAAGTCGATCGCTATTATCTGTTCGCTGGCAGGGCAGAGCACAATGACCGCCTAGGCAAGCTTTCGATGTGCTCAGTTTTCGGACTTGAGCGTTAAAATCACCTGCGGGAGCAACTATCTCGGAGCTTCGACTCAACCGAATGAGTTCGATGAGTTTATCACAAAAGTCGTCTTTTTGTGCGTCAGAAGTGCAGTTGGTAGGAGCATACACTGAAATGATGAACAGACACCTTTTGCTGTTGCTTCCTTTCCGGACGCTGATAGACCCTTGGAGCGGCATCGCACATAAGCGGTTGTTAATGGGGATCCAATCGAGTGGTGCGGCTTCGGCTGTATTATTGAGTGCGATGCTCATACCACGCTGGCCTACAGAACGGGCTTTGTCATCACCTGACGTGCGGAGGAAGAACCTCGAAGACAACCCTGGTGCACTTAAATGGCATATAGTACTAGAATCCTGAATTCGAGTCTCCAACACGCAGCAGACATCCATTCCCAAAGAGTTCATTGTACGCGCCAGACATGCTCGTTGACTTACCTGCATCAGAGTCCTCATGTTGAAGGCCTCCAGATTCAGTGGCTGACGAGGCTTCAGAATATGTAACTTATTTTGTGGTAAACTACTTACCGGGCTACTTGGCGAAGAACTTTGGCGAGTGACGAACAAATTGTCTGAGAGAATATCACGGGTCGGAAGAAAGGGTAAAGTGAGAGGGTTGGGTATGGAAGATAAAGAGTTAAACAAAGGTTGGGATGTCTGAGCAGTAGCCCACTTATCACTACCCACCCGGCTCGATGCAATGCGTAGCGCAGTCCTGATTATCCTGCGCGACGACCGATGCAATATGGAATTATTTTTTGTTTGTGTGTTCATTGGAGCTTTATGGACGGGTACTGCCAGGGTGTCCAGCCACTAAGCAGGAGAACGATTAGGGTTTTCTTCCAAAGCCTTTAGTTCTAACAAGAACCTGACCGCAAGGCAGCGGTTCAGGCGGATTGGAGGCCCATTTACTTGGATCAATTACTCCTCGACCGTTTTACCGACTGAGATGCTAACTCAAGTCGAACCCCCAACCTGGGGGACCGGGAGACTGGACTTCGTCTGACCTCTACCCTTCGACCTTCCAGGCATGATTAGATCTTTGGCTCGGTAAAAGCCATCCTGTGTAGGTCGTTGGGTCATAGAGGTGCACAAGCAATCACACCACGTTAAGGTGCAGTCTCGTCGTGTCAGTGACTACCATCACCGATTCGGACCATGTCACAGCAGGACGGAAATTTCTTAACGAGAAAATCGGAGCCAAGATAAGGTGCTTAGCTACATTTGTACATATGAATTGTGAGAATACATGCGAAAAACAAGCTACTAGGTATATTCTTACCCAATGCTCTGCGATTGTGGCGGACAAGGCGTCTTCCAGTTTTTCCAAATCAGCAAATTTGGTTGCACCATCGGCATCGGCAAAGAGAAGAGAGCGCCCCCGAGCGGATAACATGCCCTGAGTAGTAGATGAGGCACACGAAGAAAAGGGAACAAATGTTTAATAAGCAGCTGTGTTCAACAGCGTTCTCTGATTCGTAAAAGCGAAACGTACTTCAGGCAGCCGAAAGGAATCAATATGGGTATGATAAGCAAATCAATGACCAGGTGTAACGGCAATTACGGATGTCCCGAGATACACGTCAAAAGATAAAATCCAAAAATCAGCTATATGGCACCACTACTATTTACAACAAAAACGCCCCGATACGCGAACGAACGTACGGCATTTATTCACCTAATACCCGTTTTTTTTATCAACAAAGAGCATTTGAGTTTATAAACACGCATGATAAACTGAAACAAAAGACCTTCCTCGCATATGGCGGAAGTTTGAGTCACTAAAAGCGCAGGGGGCTCGAAAACCATGTCGCGACTCCCTGCAATGGTTTTAAAGCATCAGAAATCCCATTTCCTAGGTAATTTGTACGGAATACGGAACACTCTTCCCGTGCTAGCCTTACTATCTTTGCCCCTATTCTGCTCGATGATGTATTATCTGCCGGGTGCTTGCACGGTGATGGACATTAGATGGTTAGATCTGTATGCAATAAGGTCCTATAATAATCCAGGTTGCCTACGAATGTCTCAGCACGATTGGGGGTGGGTGTCTCGGGTTGCGGCTGTTCACACCTCCCTTTCACTTCGCGAAATTATCCTACACGAACAAGTGTCTCAAATAACTTCTGCTGAAAAAGTCCTCCTCAATGCCTTCTCGTGGTGGAGGTGTTTTCCCACCAAAGTGAGGGTACGAAAAGCCGACATCCGGGGTTATAATCGGGTTGGTGGACCACTAGTAGTTCACCTAGGGGAGTTGGCCAAAAACCCTGATGCCAAACCAACCAAGAGGAGGCGTACGAACCACAACCACTCAACCGTCGGTGTGGCAGTGGGCACCGGTTCGACTGGGCACCGATGGGTATTGGGCACCTGGGACGTTTGACCCCGTCCGAAAGGTGTGTGATCCGATGAACTGAACACCGGCCCCCAATGGATTGCGGTTTTCGCACACCACCCGGTTGCCTTGCGGGTCAAGCTTTGACTAGCCAAAGGCTCCGGTTGTGGATTCCTCAAGAAAATTCACCTGCGTTGGCCTGGGCAACCTAGCAGTATTCCGCCCACATGTAGACCATGGAATGCTTCTCTTTTTTATAGAGATTATTGTACTATTATTTGTTTGGCACAGTCTGGATTCAGACGTACGTGAAAATATAAATATATAATACGTTCAGGCGTGACTGGATCTGCGGCTGTGAAACGTTATCCCGTGTAGCTTGTAGGGGTCAAGGAATCACGCAATCGATCACATCATGTCAAGATGCAGTCTCGTCGAGATGCTTATCAGCATATAAAACACTGTCAAAAGACAAGATGCAGTGTAACTGAAGAAACAATAAAAGGAATTACGGAAATGTTGGTTTTAGGGAGGCGTACGCAAAAGAGGGAAACGCGCAGAGAGGATTTTTATGTTTCTCTAACAACACGATTTTGACTCTTTGTTTGTAATAAATGTATGGTCGCTAAACGGCGAGTTTATTATCCGCTAATAAAGACGGAACAATAATAACACAGAAGGAATAGCACAGCGGTATGGATTACAGATAAACCTTGCCCATCAAATATGGGTGAATGGAATAATAGACAAGAATGAAGTGAAAAATCAAACGTTTGCAAAAACGATTGCATAGGCAGGTAAGAAAATGGTGGTGATGGTGGCGCAGTGGTTCAGTCGCTGTCACCAGCATGCTTTAGACTCTATGGTACAAAGTTTTAATCCCACCACCGCCACCCGACTTTGGTGCTAGACAACTTTGTTGTCATTTAGTTTAATACCACGCCTAACCTAGCGGGGCCTTATGTGGTTCGCCATTCCAAGTCCCGGGACTAAGGTTACAGGTTCCTATCACTAAACAGCAGGTCTTGTTGACTACGGGGTCTACCTCGTCTGCTGTTCAGCACACACACACACACACGCACAAAACGTGTGTAACAAAAAAAAACTTACAAATCGCACCGCAGCTCCCTTGCCTCGATTACGAACAAGCTTGATGACTCGAACACAATCTGGCCCATGTTTGGCGGAATATTTCATGGCAGTCTGAAGGCACGAGATCATTTTCAGAATTAGTCTCACCAACCTCAGACGTGTGATCCACGCTTCCGTCATCCACGACTATGACTTCGTAGGTAAATTTGGTGTTGACTTTCTGTTGAAGAAAAAACAAATTTCATAGTTGTTGGGTGGGAATACCTTCCGTTGTTCCAAATAATCCAACGCCTCGTTCAACATTTTGGGTACTGGAAAGGGACAGAGCGAGAATAGTACGAATGGACCGAACGAAACTTACATCGCTCGGTCTCATTGAACGCTGGGATGATCACAGACAACTGTTTTTCTGGGCGTTCAGTTAGGCCGAAAGGAAGCTTAATATACTCGGACGTATGTGGATCCAAGTAGCATTCTTCGATTGGCTCACGTTGAGTATTGGGGTAAGGATCAGTGGATAGGTAGATAAAAATGAGTAACTGTGATAAATTATACTATCGAAGTGAGCAACTTACTACAAAAGTAATGATTACGAAGGTAGTCACGACAGACACGATGGATAGAAGCCACAGTTCGAGAGCCATGTTCGACCGAGATAACGTCTCTGGTTTGATTTGTAACGATGATTATACACCTACGCCAAATCAGTTACAGGATAATCATTTTCAATCCAAGGGGGAAAACTGGAAAAACGGAATGTATATGACACGTTTCAGTGATGTATTCAGATACATGCACATGCAACCAGTTATTTATATAATTTTAATTACACACATCACACGGGATACGATACGGGTATTAGGCCATCAAAAAAATATGAAACACTTGCCCGTAATTCTTCAGAAACAGAATTTACTAGTCGGAAAGAACTGTTCTTAAGCAGTAAACAGGAGACATTCGATCATTTTGAGTGTGAAAC